CAAAATTAGTTATTATTATTATTTTTTTTTTCAATCACATACTTTTGGAACTTTATTCACTTCTCTTTGAAGTGACTTGGCAATTTCTGTGAAATTTTCGTATGATGGTGATAACGATTCATGAATCTCATGCAGTAATGTTTTGATGCATGAAAAGAGTTGTTTACAGCAGTAAATTTTTCATGTTTTGCGAGTTTTACGACTCGCAAACATATCACAGTTCGAGTTATGACATAACCTTTCCATCTGTTGTCTAGAATCCAGTCACTTAACACTTTTCCAGTTATGGAAAAGATGACGATCCATGACGTATGGTCTTTTTAGATTTAGGGGTTTTCTTTAAAACAGACATGTTTCTCATCCAGTCACGGATCATCTTTTCATTCAGGCTGATGCAACACAGTTGTTCATACTTTCTGCATATGAAGCTACTTTCTGCTTGAATTTTGCAGTGTAAGACATTTGCTTTTGTTTTACACAACTCATTGCAGAAAGTGTATGGGTTTGAAAAGAGCCCTTTTTTATAGATTTCAATAAATCAGACATTATGAAAAGGAAATTAAAAAAGCATGTGTATGGTCAAGATAAATAACACGTATTCAATGACTTATTCGGTATGGTTACAGTTACTTATTCGATATGGTTATATTAACTAAAGAGCGCCTCACGGGTATTATACAGATTGAACTGGTCTGTGATGCCAGATGATGAAATAGGGGAATGGACTAATAAATAAAAATAGCAAGTATAGATAAAATTCAATTCATTTGGCTTTACTACTGTGAATTGCATTTTCTGTATGCTCAACTATCCAAAATATTAAAAATGTCTTTTAGTCCATGCTGGTTTCAAGCTGTAACAGGAATTTTTCCAGACTTGCAATTGTTCTGGTAAAATGCTAAAATTTATTTGATCAGAGAAAAAAAAAATTTTTTTAATTATAAAATAATTAATCTAAACTATCTATGGAATACTTTATTATCAATTCACATCTGTAGCTCTTTTCAATGAAAAAATTTGAAATGAACTTTCTCAGATAATGAATGAAATTATGAAATTTGTTGGATAAAAATTGCCATGAATTTTGAGTGCGAGTGGCGTAGCTAGGGTTGGACAAGAGGGGACATTTGTCCCTGGGCGCAGCATCCAGGTGGGGCCAAATTAATGGTACGAAATTTTTTAATGAAATGTTTTCCATTCTTAGCGCATTTGGGGCGCAAATTCTTCAGTTGTTCCCGGGCCCTGAAATCCTAGCTATGCCACTGTTGAGAACAATGTGGAAGTATTCAAATACATATAAAATAAAATTTGCTTCTTTTTCAAATATGCAGATTATCATATTAATGAAAACAAGTGTAGTTTATTCTGCTTTGCCGTTGAAAATTATGATGACTTTTAAATTTGATCCTAGGTCAGTTATGTGTCAGTCGAATATCAGATTGCTGACACAAAAGAGTTCTTGTGCTGTAGATTCTGGTATTGGAACTGCTTTGTAGTATGAGTGGTTGATTGGCTCTTGAGATCACTACACAATCTCTTCATAAGCATTTCTGATGCAGTATTAGGACTTTGGGTTTGTCATTGTGAATTGAACGCATGTATTGGCTAGTACATTCATATAATTGATTGTTGCATTGATAGCTGTAGCTTGAGTATGTGTATGAGTATGTTAGTTGGGACTCATTGTTGCATAGTGGAGGATGGTTGAAGAAGTGCCTTGGTGTCTGCATGACACAGTTTGTCATTTGTCTTAAGTGGACAGAAGTGCGTAGCTCTCTTGGTCACCATTGTAGCAATCTTGTGATGTCCTAAGTGTACTTGGTGGCTGCTTTGCGTATGGTTGCTTGTTTATGTTGCTATCTTTTAGCACCTGTGAGAAGTGCAGCAGCACACCGTTGAAGATTCTGATGATGTTCGGGTTTAATGTTAATTCTGTTACAGGGCAGTTGAATATCATACTCCTAATGCAAAAGAGTTCTTGTTCAGTAGATTTCGTCATTTGGACTTAATAAACAGTACAAGGGTTTGACTCTTAAATTGTACTGTTTGTGGCTCCCTAAATTCTGAAAATTTTCCTGACTGCAAGTTTGATACCTATTCCAGCTACAGTGGCTGTGGTGCTGACTCTGGTTGTATGTTATGTAGGTTCATTAAGATCTTAAATAATCAGATCAGCTCAGTAACACAACATCTGCAGTAAACTAAATCTCAGTTCTCAACTGAACTGACGTCTGGTTCTTGATAGCCTCTTAGTTATATCATTGTCCAAAATTAATCTAAAAAAATCTGTATTCTAGAAACTCCAGAATGTAATAAAAGTTCGCAAGAAATTACCAAGTGTTACAATTTTGGCAACAAAATTTTTCTTTAACATGTTGAATGCCCTGCTCATTTCCCATGGATTGCCCATCTGGCCAAGATGAATTTATCATTATGTGTTGAATATTTTGGTGGAATATTAATAACAGCAGACAGGTTAATGAATTTATCAACTCTTACCATGTCATGAACTTAAATAAATGCCAGAAAAAGCTAAAATCATGCAAAGATTTTGTCAAGTATGCTACGAGAAAGATTCAAAAATTCTAGGTAGGCTAACTAAAAAAAAAAAAACTGTACCAAAAAGTTGTGACATATTGTGAAGACTGCGTTAGTTTACCTTTCATTTGCTTGAAGTGTTACAACACACACATCACAAAATGTGTGCATAATATTTAAGCTTACTTGTTATATATATAAATAAAATTATTTTTGTATGTTTTATTTTGCATTAATTTCTTTACACCGTTTTAGTAATGATGTGAATATTGAAAAATTTTTAAAAATTGAAAATTTACTCGAATTGCATGTTTCTAGTAATCTTGGCTTTACCTGTCACCAGTAACCTCTATGACATTCATTGTGTTAAGGCTAGTTAAGGGGGCTTTCTGCCAGTCTCTGTGGCTTTACCTAAGCTGTCTTAACAATTCTAAAACCATTTTGCTCAGAATAAAATGGTCTATCAAATAATATCTGAATTAAAGTTGTGCAAATACAATTAAGTAGCCACAAACATAAAATAAAAAGGGCACAATATAATAAATATAAACCTGAAATTTATTAAGTAGTATAAATATCAATTACATTAAATGTAAGCATAAAATTGCCATGCAAAATGCAGTAAAGAAATGAAAGATGTGCAGCAATACACAAAATACATGAAAATAAGATACAAAAGAAATAAGCACAAATTTTTATATAAGTATGCAATGCTGTTTTATTGAATGCATTTCTTTTATCTGTTAACCATCTGAGTGGTGCAGAATTTTAGATCTGTCATGAAGACCAGTATTTAAACAGTATTTATGTATTGACTTTGTATAATTACTTTAGTCTGTATTTTCATAAACTTATATTCATTAAGATGACATTTTCATTATTAAAGAAAGAAAAAAGCAAAATATCTTAAATTATAAGCTATAATAACGATATATGCAGAGTAGCAAAACTTCTGATGACCGGATAAAGCCAGTCATAACGCTCAGAGGCTTAATCAGCATATATATTTAATGTCAATTCTTATACTTCTCCTGTTTTCAATGTTTATTTTTAAAGGGAGTAAGTATTCGAAATTCAAAAGCTGTTTTCATGTCCAAAGTATGTTTTGTGCATAAATGGATTATACAGAGGCTGTTTGCACATTTTTTAAACGTTTTTGGTAAGCGGTAATAAAAAATCGTTTGCTGCAAAAGTAGTAATTACAATTGTACTATGTTTTTAAAAGTCAAAATTATGGTCTGTGGCTTGAAAGTTCTGTTTTTATTCAAAATGGCGAATTTAACAAAACAGTGGTTTGAAGGCTACATTTACACTCTTTCCGAAGAGAAATATGCATACTCCATTATCCAGAAACGATGTGAGAGTCGTGGCTTTGTGATATCTAAGGCGTCGATAGGTAATATCATCAACAAGAAAGGAAAAAAAAACGTCAAATTGGAGCCTCAAGTGGGACAAAAATTCCAAACAAGTATCCAAGGAAAAAACGGACATCTTCCACTATTGCAAAGGTACGTTGTTTAATGTTAAAAGAAAATTCCCCTAGTCAAAGGACAGTTGCAAAATCATTAAAATGCTTGGTGTCTACTGTAAACAAAATTATAAATGTTGATTTAAATCTTAAGAAAGCGAAAAAATGCAATGTGCATCGTCTTCTTCCAAAGCATATCACTCAACGCAGGAAACGCTGCAGAATTCTATATGAGAAACACTTGTCCAAAGAAAAATGGAAAACAATTGTCACAATAGATGAAGCATGGGTGTGTTTAAATGATTGTAACAAAAAAAAAAAAAAAAAAAAAAAAAGAGCCATTTATTATCATAAAAGGGGAGAAAAAATTGTTTAAGTACATGGTTCAAAGAATCGAAAGAAAGTTTTTCTAAGGGATTCATGATTGTTGCTGGTTTTTCTTATAATGGCAAGTTAAAAATAAAGAGAGTGCAAAAAAATGTCAAGATTAACTCCAAAAGTCACACATCAAAATCCACTGTAAATTTCCTAAAAGAAATGGAACAAAAAACTGGTATCAAGGCCATATCCTTTACTGATATCCCTACTGAATCTCCCGATGTGTCACCTGTGGATTTTTGTGCTTTCGGACTTTTAAAAACTGCATTATCCAAATGTTGTCCCAAAACCCTAACAGGACTCTGGAAAGCTGTTTGGGAGGAATGGGATAGATTACCTCTTCTGCCACTTCAAAAGGCATTATTATCCTGAAAATTGCAGTGTCGAAAGATGGTTCAGAATGAGCGATGTCGAACATTTAAAACACAAGAATTTTATGTAATTTAGTTTTGTGAATACAATATACATCGTCTAAAAAATGTGTGAACAGCCTCTGTATATGAATAATTATACAATTGATAAGCAATTTAGTATTTGTAAAATAAGTTTTATATTAATTTTTTTATTTGTTTATTCAAATTTGTTTCAATAAATTTTCATCTTGTTATTATTTTAGGAGAATGTAGAGCTTGATTTGAAGTTTCTTCCTGAGAAGTATGATTCAAGCAATCCCTTGGTAATAAGTAGTAAAAAAAAAGCTGTGAAAGTGGCAGCAAAAAAATCATCTATTACTTCTAAACAGTTATCAAAAAAACAACGGAAAAAACTAGAAAAAATTTTAGAAAAGAAGAACAAGAAATTAAATGTAAGAAGTAACTTAGTTTTTATACATTGCATGTTAAAAATGTTCTGATATTTCCCTAGTATAATTTTTTTTCCTCTCCCCCCTTTTTCTGCAATAGCATTGAAACATACCTACGTATTATCCCATTTATACAATTGATAAGCAATCAGTATAATTTATCACCATTTGTGAATAAGCATGTCACAACGAATGTGGTGACAACGAATATGAGTGACATCAACACAATCGAATGTATATATGTCACTCATAACATCTACACATTCGATTCACGTAACCATGGGTAAACATTGGATATGCAGTGTGAAAAATCGTGGCAACCAAATATATTATTGAAAGGAATTAATTCCTTTCAATAATATATTTGGGGAAAGAGGGATAGGAGACTCTTAGACCCATCACCCCAGGGTGCCCTCCATCAAAATTGGGGATGGAACTGAGCTAAATCTCACTGTCACCTGTAAGTTGCTGAAGGCTGTTGCCAACGGCAAGCATAAAATCTTGTGATCCTTACCAAAAGGAATTTCGTGGGCTTGTGCTGACTATAGATCAGACAAGTGAGCATTAGTTAATAACAAGGAATGTGGCTTGAGGACTGAGGAATCACATGTATGACTGCAGTTCATTTATGGCTAGTCAAGAGAATTAACATCTGTTGAATAGTGAGAATAGTTGGAGGATATGACCAACAAAACAATAATAGATTGGAAAAGTTGAGCTGCCAGAAGTTTGTACTGATAGTGTTCCTGATAAAATTGGAAGACCTAATAAAACAGTAGAAATAAACAAAGGGGTAGTTTATATTTTAGGGTACCCTTGGATTATCACCAAGTTGTTTTTTCATTTATGATAACCTGAGTATTTTATGGAGTATGTTTTTGGTTGGGCGCTATCGTGATGTTTATTGGTTGTAATGCATGATGGCGGTGATTTTGATTGTTTTGAGAACATTTCTGTGTTGGATGTCAGTTAGGAAGTATGTTGCTTATTTTGTGTTTTACACGGTAAAACGGCTGTTGGTGGTATAGAACGAGGGAGTAGAAGTTGTTTTTTTTTTTTTAAGTGTTTGAGGACAGAAGAAAAGAGACTTTGTTGGACGTAATTCAACAGAATATCTTTCGTGGAGCAACAATCATATCCAATTTGGAAATCATACGATTGTCTTTCTGATAATAGCTTCATTCATCTGTCAGTAAATCATAGTGACATTTAAGGATCCGGAGCTCATATCAAAACTATCGGTATGGGGGGCATAATAAAAAGGGACTTTTGAAAGAAATGCCACTGACAGTCTGGCACTATGGAAGAACATTTTTGATTCTTACTTTTGTGAATTTATGTGGCGACAGCACTATACAGATTCTAGTTCAGATAATTTAAAAAGTTTTTGGTTACTGCTAAGGAATTCTGCATGCCACACACCAAAGGCCCACAAATTTCTAAATAAGGTGAGTCTATACAGTCAAAAGTCATTAATTTGGACACCCATAATCCGGAATAATCTATAATCCGGACCTCAAAGCTACAAACTTTCTGCGCATGCGTCACGTTGACGCATAAAATGTTTACGCATGCGCGTTTAATGTATAACGGACGGTATAAGCTAAGCTAAAATTATCTAATTCGGTTAATGTTGCAGATTGCGTTGTTCCTTAATCTTCGAATTGGATCCGGCTTATTATTTTTTGCAGACTGTTAGAGCAATTTTATAAAAGTAAGCTTGAACTTTTGATTATGTCAAATAGAATTTCCGATATATATTTACTAATATGTATATGTAAAGGATCTACAAAGCGAAAGTATGTTTCAAAATCCGAAATCTGTTTATCAATTTCATGCTGCTCTGTGGCGGGGGGGGGACGCAATGAATTGGAAGTTGACCTGTCAGCACTATCCTTATCTTCAGGGCAGATGTTTTTATTTTATTCGGCTTATAATTCCTTAATAAATGTAGTATTTCATCTCGATGTACTCCGTCTTTGATATGATTTAAATCAAAGTTCCTCCTCATTATAATTCGCTTCCGATAGTGAAGAAAAGTGACACAGTGGTTATTAAAAATGAAAAAATTTCTATTGACAAATAGTCGGTATTCTGACACAGCAATTAGGGACTTGAACAGCGGAACTTTGTAACTAAACAAGAATTATGTCTGTTAATAGAATTAAAGGAAAAGTTATCACATGAAACGAGCAACAAAAAAAACATTGAAAGAAATGTTTAATAAAGTAAACAAATAAATATTAGCTTTTTCTTTGTAAATTTTGATACCCTTTAGATCATAATTGCTCTTTATTTCATAAATTACGGTTTCATACTTTTAATTTTATAATTTCTGCATGCCATCTTACCAGATTTAAACTGATGATCTATAATCCGGAAAAATCGATAATCCGGAATCGCCAAAGTCCCAACGAGTCCGGATTAACGACTTTTGACTGTATTTTGTTTTTGTACTGCACAGATTAGATAACATGTATTTCCCTTTTTATATTATTTCCTTATTTTATTTTGATTTAAAATTCAGTTTATTGAGATTAAATTTTTATGTTTTAATTATTATTTATTGCATTATGTTTAGCATGCCATTTTTCTTGGGAGAGCATTGCACATAAGCAGGAATGGCACCAAAAAAATCGCCAATTTTCGCCAAGGGGGACCTGAAATATATTTAATGAAAAAAGTTATTGAAAGAATCACTTTCTTTTGGCGTGATCTATTTATAAGCAAGGTCACTTCTTATCAGAACATTTCATAAATCAATTGTTTGTGTGGGGATGGAAGGGAAAATAGGTGTTGCACTAGTGCAGTGTCAGTGGGAAAGAAAATACGGGAAAAATTATATTTCTTTATGCACTTCAAAGTATTACATGAGGCTTACAAAAACATAAAAAAGATACACCAACTTTAAATAATACAATTAATTCATAGATGCTGTGGTTGATATGCATTCCATGCTTTAAAAGTGCCTAGAACGAGGTACCTTACATTAAAAGAAGCCCTTTAAAGACTGTTTGATGAAGAAACAGGTAATGATAATAACCAGAATGAAAGTGATATTGTTTCACCAGAAATTGTAGAAGCTAGTAATGAAGAAGAAGGGAATGATAATGTTTTGCGTAATGGTAGGGATATGTTACCAAATGACACTGCTGGGAAAGTTGAAGTTTACGTAGACGTAGTCATATGAAAAATTTCAAAAACTGAAAACTTGAAGTAGATAAAAAAAAAAAAAAAAAAGAACCATCAGTTATGATTTTGTCTTCTTTGTCATCTAAAAAGTAAAAGTGTTAGTGCTACAGGAACAGTTCAAGAAAAACTCATACAAATGTGCAGACTAGAAACGGTTCTGTAAAAAGTGTTTCCCGCTATATTCAAGAATATAAAGAGATCTTTGTATCTCAGTTCATTGTATTGAACAATACAATGCCAAAATTACTGGTGTCAATTTATGCGACAATTTAGTAGCCAATAACAGAATAAGAATTTGTGGCAAAAAAAGGCAGTGGCTAATCTTTACAAATTACATTGATGCATCCTTGAAAAATACATGGAAAATGTAATGACCTTCTACTGCTTGAAATAAAAAGTTTCTTTTAGATTTCAGACACAAGATTGTGTTATTCCATATGTTAACTCGGTAAAAATATATTTAAGGGTTCCCCTTGGCGATTTTTGTCTGTTGGACAGGAAGGCACAATTTTAAGTTAGCCGCAACACAAAACCAAAATAAAAAGTCAAAGAATTGCACAAACTCGGTGTCCATGTACAAATCAATCTATTTTCACTTAAAAAAACATCAGAGAATTGCACAGACTTGGCATTGCACACTCCCTTGACTTGTCCATGTACATATCGATCTATTTTCACTTGAAAAAATCAGGAGAATGATGACGTTATATAATGTTACTCCTCACCAAAATTGAACAAAATTTGTAGCCAATCAAAGCTCAATAAACTTCATTTTAAATTGCTCAATGAAATAACATAAAAAAAATTAAATACATGTTATCAGATATACGCACTACAAAAAGGAAATACAACTTACTATATTTAGAAATATCTGTGTCTTCAGTCTGTGGCACGCAAAATTCCTTAACAGCATCCAAAATCTTTCTAAAATTATCTGAACTAGAATATGCATACTGCCGTCACCACATAAATTAACAAAAATAAGAGTTGAAAATATCCTCCGTATAGTCGGAGGCATTTCTTGTAACAAACCCATTCAAAGCCATCTGAACGATCTTTACGTTCAACCATAGGCATTTCCTTTGTACGAACAGGACATTTATAATGACTGCTAAGTAAACCTTCATTTACACACCAGTCAGTTAAAGCTTTTGTCCCTTTCATTCCAGATCACACAGAAACCAGATTAATCTCATCACATATAGCCATTTTATGGTGTACAGGACAAAATAAGCAGCATACTTCCTAACTGACATCCAACACTAAAATAAGCACTTACAACTATTTTTCCATCAGTCAAATTCACTGAAATCATGCAAATCACGTCATAATAGGCTTTCCATAACATTCAACTTCTTAGGCTATAAGGTATTTTTCCAGCCTTCTTAGCATGCCTTCGAGGTGTAGTGGTCAGCATGCTCAATGCGTATTCAAGAAGTCTGTCATTCGAATCCCAGCAAGGACATTGCTCATTTTTCATCTCTCTTGCTTTCGAAATAACCTAATGTCTCTACAGTGCCGCCCAAACTAAAAGTGTTGGTGGATGATGATTCTCTGTCACCAGGATTTGGTGATTGGGTCCTCTAATCCCCAGTCACCTTTTAAAAGGGGGAGTATATAAGGTATTTCTCCCACCTTCTTAGCATGCCTTCGGGGTGTAGTAGCCAGCATGCTCGATGTGTATTTGAGAGGTTCATGGTTCAAATCCTGATAAGGGCATTGCTCATTTTTCATCTCTTCCGCTTTCGAAATAACCTAATGTCTCTACAAGGTTACCATAAATGAAACAACAACTTGGCAATAATCTAATC